CTTGGCTAGCTTAGATGTTGAACTGGAACTTAGCACAGAGTAACCAAAAAAAGAAAGTCCTAGTTACCTTTTTTGCTCCTTATAATCAGACCCCTCATTGCCTTTACCAACAGCTGTACACTTATATATAGGGTGATGGGAGGGAGGGAGTGGCTGCATTTTCATCTCTTCCTTGTGACACAGAGATAGGTATTGTATCTATAATCTCCTGCAGCCTTTGAGGCACACATTCACATCGGTAAGCCTAGTACAACCAAAGTCACTACTGACTTGCTAAGAGTTGGCCACGTCCTCACCTCACTGGGCTTATTTCAACATTGTACACCAAGTTTATAGAGTGTCACCAGCAATCAGAATAGATCTAGGTGGTTAATTCTAAATTGCAAACAAGGAATTTTAATTTTTACTTTTACATTTTCCAATAGTTATCCTTCCTATTAGTTTTCTTCTGTGAAGTTCCCCAGTCTTGGTATTCTTCTTCTAGAATTTGTATATAACTACACAAGATCTCTTTCAGGGGCAGGCTGACAACACATGGGGCCCCCGGGCAATACGAGAATATGGGCCCCCCTTGTGCCTCATTCGCATGAATATTCTTGTGTTACAGAAATTATTTCTCCCATTATTTTCAAAATAGCAAGCCTATTCACTAAACAGTGAATTGCATGGGAATAGGTAGGAGAGTTAAAAAATCTAGACCAATATCGGTGATTTGGAAAGTGAGCTAAATGACAGAATGCACAGCAGACTTCAGACCAGCACCAATGCATGGCAGACCGCAGATCAGAACCAATGCATGGCAGACCTCAGACCAGAGCCAATACACGGCAGACCTCAGACCAGAACCAATGCATGGCAGACTTCAGACCAGGACCAATGCATGGCAGACTTCAGACCAGGACCAATGCATGGCACACCTCAGGCAGGAACCATTGCATGGCAGACTGGGCAGTTAGAATGAAACATACACAACAACATCTCTGGGATTGGCCATCACAGGCAGTCTGATCCCCGTCAGACTGTGGTCCAGCAGGTAAGTGCAGCAGGCCACCCCACAGGAGGCTAGGCCCCTGATGTGGAGGGTCTCAGGCAGATGCGGAGGGTCTAACCAGAGGCAGATGCGGAGAGTCTCACCAGTGGTAGATGTGGAGGGTCTAACCAGGGGCAGATGCGGAGGGTTTCACCAGTGGCGGATGTGGAGGGTCTCACCAATGACAGATGTGGAGTGTCTCAGCAGGGGCAGATGCGGAGAATCTTAGCAGGACAGGCGTAGAGGGTCTCAGCAGGGTAGATGTGGAGTGTCTCAGCCTGGAGTTCAGCTGGAGTTCAACCAAACCCAGCCTATTTGGTCAGTTTGCCAGCCCAAAGCTCTGGCTGATATGGCCGGAAGTCTGCCATTTAGCACTGGTATCACAACTTCTAAATTTTGGGGGGTTTTTTCCCTTAAAGAGACTCTGCACATTTTACCAAAACATGGTGTGGTGTCCCCCTGCACATTCAAAAAAGATCCTTATCTAGGAATGCAGTCATGACGGCAAGCGTCCCTGTCCCCGCCAACCATACCAGACCACATACTCTCAACATTGGGAGGGTTCCTTTCAAGGAGGAAGGGTGGCCAAAAATCTCCTCCCTTGGAAGGCACCTTGTCCAAAGTTGTCCCACACCCTGTCCCCCAAAAGGGATGTGGGGGTCTGCAGGGAAGGCTTATCACAATCTGGAAACCATCAGCATAGGGACAAGGTGTTTTTCAAGGGAGATGCTTGTCTGCCCGCCTTGCAAGGTACTCACCCTCCGCCCCCCATGTTTAGGGTATGAGGCGCTGTATGATTTGAGGGGAAATGCAAGCTCACAGCTACCTCTTTTCTAGCCAGCCAGGCTGCATGCATGCTTGTGGGGTCCCCTTACAAAATCTCAGACCCTATCTAGCATGAAGCCTGGCTGGCCAGGAAATTGGGCAGCAGTGATTGTGTGTCCCCTTCTCTTCCTAAACCCTACCAGGCCACATGCCCTCAAAATTGTGAGGGTACCTTGCAAGGTGGGAAGTCAAGCCAACCCTCTTGCAAGGCATTTTGTCTTTATGTTAAGCATGATATTTAAAGGATTTGTGTAAAATTATTGTTGCCCTTTAAGCCACATTAAAAGACCCTTTCCTAGCCGGAAGGCATTTTTTTATTTTTTGTGCATTGCTACATGTCCCAAACAACACTACACATGTCCTTTATTTAACAAAAACATGCTTTATTGGCCTTGAAAAGGGCCAGAAAAAAAAGCTGATTTTGCCTGGTTCGCTCATCCCTAATAAGAACTGTTTAACCTGCCAATGGATTTGTAACTCTGTGAAGCCAGTTTGTGATTCAGGCACGTCTATCAGACTAGATAACCTGATTCTTAATCTATACTACAGCAGCAAGAACACTGGTCAAAATACGCCACCAGACTGATAAGGTTATCCTTCTGCTCGCTCTCCTCTCTTCTGCTCTCAGCATGCTCCCTATCAGCACATGTGCATGTTGCAGTGCCTAACTGGCTCATAGTGCTGAGTCTACCTCTCCCAGTCTAAGGCCTTCTGATTGGACAATGAAGCAGCAGCACACTGCTGCTTCATTGTCCATTCTCTTCTCAGCAAATTCTCCTCTCAGCACATGGTCATCCTTCTGCTCCTTCTGCTCTCTTCTCCGCTCAGCATGGTCCCTCTCAGCACATCTGCATGTTCTAGTACCTTACTGACTCATAGCGCTGGGTCTACCTCACCCAGTCTGAGCCCTTCTGATTGGACAATGAAGCAGCAGCACACTGATGATGTCATCCTTCTGCTCCTTCTGCTCTCTTCTCCTCTCGGCATGGTCCCTCTCTGCACATGTGCATGGTTCAGTGTCTTACTGACTCATAGCGCTGAGTCTGCCTCGCCCAGTCTGAGCCCTTCTGATTGGACAATGAAACAGCAGCAGCACACTGATGAGGTCATCATTATGCTCATTCTGCTCTCTTCTCCTCTCAGCATGGTCCCTCTCAGCATGCAACAAAGCCTTATTGGCTCCTTGCGCATGACCCTCTTTTTTTCATTATGGGCTCTACTACACAGGGTTTTAGTGCTATGCTATGTACAAGCTGGGCTGTCAATTGGCATAATAGAAGAAAGGTTGGGCGCCTATACAAAGTTTTCAAGACTGCCATGCAGCGGGCTTTAAATTAGCTCATGCTATTTATAAGAGATCTGTGTATAAATGTTATTGTGTTGTGTTTACAAAAATCAATGGGCATTATTTAGAAAGATGTTTTCTTTAATATTCATGATTTTAAGGAACAGTTTCATATTATCTTTATATCACCACCAGAGTATATAAATACATGTTACATAGTATTAATATGTGCATCGCGTCTGTTTGAGCCATTGACCTATTTCTATATGCTAAAGGCTGCTAGGAAGGCGATTTGTTACTACAAACCCTGCGCCTAAAAAAAATCCAGACAGTTACAGTTCCGTTACAATATTGCAGACCAATCCATAAAGAAGGCTATTTCCCTCACATCATAAAGTCCTGCTAGAAAGTACTAAGGTGGGTTATTTGCAAACTCCATTCTCTGCTTTATGCAATGTTGGACAACAGTCCTCATACCTCTTCATAAAACCAAGAGTAAGTAGTTGCTGATTGACTCCAGGGAAGCTGAGATGAAGATATACACCACATAAAATAGAGAGAGCAGCCTCTATATAACCTCTCCCATTGACAACATACATTTATTCGCTGGGAACACTTGTGAAAGTGTTCAGGGGGAAAGAAAAAATGCAGAGCCTTGTTGCAATTTGCTGAAGGAGGCAAGGAGCATCCTAGATCTAAAGTGGGGCTTTTACTGTGTTCATTGAGGAGTGAAAGTCGCCACACATGTCAAGCTAAAGGCAGTTGTTGGGTTACTAACAGGACACAGCGTCTTGCAAACATATGCGTTCGCTGTGTATACAGATGGCACGGAGAATAATGGAGCAGGCGCCTTTTATAAAGCTCTGGCTGCTGCTGCCTGTCTTCAGAGCAGGGAAATGAAAAGTGCTCAGACTCTGGGCCAGCTAGCGCCTGGGATTGTTTGTTACCGTTTTAATCCTATTAATTAAAACGTTAACCTGATTGGGTAGAAAGCTGTGTCCCAACAGGCGAGTCTTCTTCATAATAACCTACTCAGAGATAATGATGTAAAAGACTCCCCCGTCTGTGGCTGCCGCTGCTTGATGGCTCCGGAAATCTCTTGAAGGTGAATCCAAGCAAGAGGAGAGAGCACTTCCATCTCACAATGTCTGAGAGCATGACAGCAGGCTGGAGCTGAGCCGGACCACACACTGGACTTCAGCCTGATACCGGGAAGCTGAGCCGGACCCGGCACTGGACTTCAGGCTGATACCGTCAAGCTGAAGCGGACCCGGCACTGGACTTCAGCCTGATACCGGAAAGCTAAGCCGGACCCGACACTGGGCTCCAGCCTGATACAGTTAAGCTGAGCCGGATCCAGCACTGGACTTCAGCCTGATACCGTCAAGCTGAGCCGGACCTGGCACTGGACTTCAGCCTGATACCGTCAAGCTTAAGCGGTCCCGACACTGGACTTCAGCCTGACCCACTAGAGCTGAGCCGGACTTGATCCACTAGAGCTGCTCTGGACTTGCCCCAGTAGAGCTGAGTCGGACCTAACCCACTAGAGCTCAGCCGAACCTGATGCACTGCTGTTGAGCCGGACTTGACCCACTACATCTGAACCAGACTTGACCCACTAGAGCTGAGCTCGGACTTGACCCTGCAGTTGAGCCGTGACACTGGACCTGAGCCGGACCTGTCAAGGTGGAGGACTAGTTGTGACCCCCATAAAGTCTACTAGCTGTGACCCCCATCAAGTGGACTAGCTGTGACACCCCCACTAAGTGAGCAGGACCCCCCTCAGTGAAGGATTTTCATGGTGAGCATCTGACAGCACCGAGCACAAGTTAAAGTGAGGAGGATCAAAAGGCAGGGGACATGGAGAGGGCGCTGAACCTAGCGGAGGAGGACCTGTTCCATAAGAGTCTCAGCGTGTCCGCTAAGAGGATGGAGTCAGCCTTTCGCTCCCCCCCGGGTCTGGACTTGTCCCAGCCGGGAGATCGCTCGCCTTTACATTGCTTTGACGGAGCCGACCCCTCCGATCTCCTGCGCCACCACCAGAGCTCCGGTGCCTCGCTTGCAGCGGGTGGAGGGATGTTAGGGGCAGTGGGGGATCCTCTGGCGTTAGCCGCCGCCAGCATGAGCATGTGCGCCAAGTACGGGGAGAGCACCGGCAGGGTATCGGTGGCGGAAAGCAGCGGGGGAGAGGACCAGAGCCCGGACGATGACAGTGACGGGCGCTGCGATCTGGTGCTCAGGACGACAGACCACAGGGCCTCCCAGCCTGGCATGAAGTCCGACATGCCCTGCGGTCCCACTTCAGGCAAGAAGTCTAAAGAGCAAAAAGCCTTGAGGCTGAACATCAACGCCCGGGAGAGGAGGCGCATGCACGACCTGAACGATGCCCTGGACGAGCTGCGAGCTGTCATCCCCTATGCCCACAGCCCCTCGGTCAGGAAACTCTCTAAGATTGCCACCCTGCTCCTGGCCAAGAACTACATCCTCATGCAAGCCCAAGCGCTGGAGGAGATGAGGAGGCTGGTGGCTTACCTCAACCAAGGCCAAGCTATCTCTGCTGCCTCTATACCCAACCCTGCTGCTGCTGCCGCTGCCGCCGCCGCCGCTGCTGCAGCCCTGCACCCTGCACTGGGCGCCTATGAGCAGGCGGCTGCCAGCGCTGCCTACCCCTTCAGCACCGGGCTCCAAGCTGCCAGCTCCTGCCCAGACAAATGTGCCCTCTTCAACAGCGTCTCTTCCAGTCTGTGCAAGCAGTGTACAGACAAGCCTTAGCCTTAGAGAGAGAGCCCTGCCACCCAGGAGTTGGCATCAGCTGGCACCCGCAGCAGAGGGACAATTCATTCACCAAGTCATTGGAAAGAAGTTGCTTCATGCAGGCGACCGCTGGCTTGTCCATCTTCCTCCCCATCCTGTGTCTTCATTTGTTGCTTATCTTAGTTTCCTCCAGCCTTGCTGCTTGGGAGACAAACCCCAACACCTGAGTCCTAAAGTCGCTTCGAGTCCCCCCCCCCATCTCACTTGTTGTGACAAATGCCAACGTGGGATATTTCCATTATTTATGTTACAAATCGCTGCTCACTTTAAAAAAAAAAACAAAAAAACTAACAATTATTACATAGCCTATTTCCTTTATGACTGACATTTCTGATAAATCAGAAATAAAAAATAAAAAGGGCACTTGAATTTGATAATGTTTTTGAGCCAGGAAAACACTTGAAATATAGACTTATTTAATAATAATAATTAAAAAAAAAAGAACTCAACCTTACGAGGTTATAAATCATTTGTATTTTTTATCGTGTCTGAACTTTGTATGACATTGCTTCAAATATTTTGGTGAGGATGTAACTGGCATGCAGACCAGAGAAGTGTCTGGGGGGTGAAAGTCTAAAGAATTTGTTTGTTTCCTTCATTCTTTTGGTGCACCTTGTTGATCATTATGGAATGTTGTGTGGGAATAAGTGGTTATTTATGTGTCACTATTCAATAATTGTTCAAGTTTATTTATCTTGTGTTACAGTTGAAAGGAAGTGAAGATGCATTATGTTTTCTTTGTTTTTATTTATATAATTTTTTTTTTGTTGGTGGGGGAGATCTATGCTAAATTGAATCTCTAAACTTGTGCCAAGTTTTTCAAAGCCTAATAAACAAAACAAAAAAAAAATAATGCCAGTTTATCAGACATTCTCGATGTTTGCGAGCTTTTAGCTCACTGGAAAAATAAATCAGACCATTTTTGTGATCTGAAGTTGCAACATAACTGTGTTTAAGCTAAGCTTTAATAAATGGATTCCCTCCAAAAATCTGCAAGAGGATGTGTATTATTAATTGGGTAGTATGCATAATTATGTTCTTTTAAATCAATTGCAATTCTGATCCCATTTAATCTGAGATAACTACATCTGGCCTTGTTTAAAATAAAAGAAAATCGTATCAACTGTGGTATATGATGACTTTTTGTTCTGTGTGCGTTCAAAGCTTTTGAGTCAATTCTAATGATTTATCTATGAGGTTTTTTTAAATTTGTGTTTTTAAAAAAGTGATTTTATAAATGAGATCTATGAAGTATTACATGTGGAAAGACACTGCATCCATACCCTACTGTTTGTGGCACTTGGCAGGGTTCAGTTTGTCATGTTGAATGGCTGATGGACTTGATGGCAGGTCAAGGATGTGTAAAGAATTCTGCCCATTAAATAGGTCAATGAGATTACTAACGCACATATATTATCTTGTGTGCACATCTGCGCCAAAAAGGCAACTGAATTGACTCTAGCGAATGTTCCAGGCTTATTCATTAAGGTGTGTGGCGGATTCGCTTGCAGAAAATTATTGGAATGAACTAGATAAATTGTATTAAACAGTACAGAGTTTTCTAAGCATTTATATTTGTGTGCACTTCGCCTTCACCTTATTTATTATGTACATTTACAGTTTTAATATTTAAAATGCTGCAATGCGATGTTAAAATTGAAGCTTTTAATTGTCATTGATTTGGGGCAAGTGTGCTATTCCTAATGTATAAAAAAGGAATGGTTTGGGAAGGTTTAACAGGCCCCAATCCAATTTAATGAGAATGTACTATTTTTTTTTTTTATCATTGAAATCCCTTTTCAATTGATAAGGTGTTTCAAGTTGGTTTATATTGTTTATGTGATCTTCTGATCAGAGTCATAGAACTAGTTCTAAGAAGGATTAGAGAACTGGTTATAGGAAGAGCTGGATTGGCTTGTGATGTGTCATTTTATTTTTGATATCCAATCTATAGAATATGTAGCTGTAGCCCTGTGTACAGCAGGATAACAAATTGCCTAGACAAATGTGAGTTTGCCCCGACTGGTGAACTGCCAAAGAAGATGGGCACTTATGTGCAGTGCTAGGCTGGGGCAGTGGGCTGGGAAAGGCACTGCAGACAGGGTGGCACAGGCAGCCCCGGGCCACAAATATTGCATGTCTTTCAGCATTACCACACAAAGCCTGGGCGCCTCTAATTATGATTATTAAAACAATTTCCATGACGATGTCTAATATTATGTTAATTTGAAAACAACTGTGTATGAAAACTGTCGACTGTAATACCTAAATTCATTTAATGAAACACATCGTTAAGGCAATTAGACCTCCTGGATGTGATTAAGGAACATAATTATGACACTGTTCTGCGACGTAATTATCAAGGAGTAAAGTGATCAGCAACACGGCCATTAGTTTGTATTGTTCTGTCTCTGCTGTCTCTGCTGTCCATCACTCTGATTAGAAATTAACCACCAGAAGCATTTTTTTTCCAAATTAACATCATAGGACAAATTAGCTGCAAGATTTACTGCGTAATACTTAATACTTCTCATTACAAGGGCCGTGTCTCCTGGAAGCTCATCCATGGGCAGCCCCGGGTCCAGGGCAGGACAGCCTGGCTCTGTGGACTAAATGAGGTCCTGTAGACCTGAGTCAATTTGGGATGGAGGGCTTCTCTGGGAAGTCTGCAGGATTCAGTTTTTGAAGGATCACACATGACAATAGAGTCCATTTACAAAGTTTAACACAAAGATAAGAATCTTTATTTTTAAGCATGTGATTGCAATTTCAAAGTTTAATTGGACTCCACTAAAAATATATATATATATATTTTTTTACTAAATATGGACTTATGCTGGTGTGTAAGCTTTGTGAATTGAGTCTAATGCATTTAGCAGCAATTCATTATTTTCATAATCTTTTTTCCCTTGAGTCATTTTTTTAAATTATAGGATTTTACTTACATAAATTACTTCTGGTCATGTATGATTTAATATATATTTTGGGACTTCTTTTTAAAAGCCAAAGAAGCCAATCAGATTGCTCATGTCTACTGTAGTTTGGAATGCTAGAGCTAACATTCATTTGCTTTCTAGGGGCAAATGTCTCCCTTTCTTTTTTTTCTTTAATTTATGAATAGATTAGGTCTTTGGTAATGTCATGTATTTGACTTACATTCTGATGAACATCATCATTTATGCAAGGTGTAGATTGTGCACCCCAGTTTCAGCACTTGTAGTGTACATTTCCAATATATGCATAGTCCTCTAAAATATTGATCTTTTTCCTCATTTGACTGCAATAACCTGAAATGGGATTGGTTGCTATGGGTTATTGAACTTAGCTCCATACATTTCACTTTGCAATATCTTTTTTAAATAAGCTTTTTTATGTCATTATAGTGACATCATTATCTTAAAGTAAATGTGGATGTTGGTAAAACTTTTTCATTTATGTAGGGAAATATTTACTATTTCGAGTATACATATTGTAGAGCTACATGGACTGAGACAGACCAAACACAAGACAATTCTTAGTAAAATTCAGCAAAGATTTGATAACATCAACATTTTTGGAAGGATCATAAGTGATGAATAGAAACGTATATTTTGTAATGGATTGATGCGATTCGTATATGATTGATCATCGCTTGCGATTGTTTGCTGTTTGAACAGTGACAGATTTTTTTTTTAGATTGTAATTGTCCTGTTCTCTAAATAATCCTCAATATTTGTTGAAAACTAACGCAAAAAGATACTTTCCAACAAGCTGGAAAATCATTATATCATGATATCTCGAATTCTTGTGTCCTGTGGTAAATGTTTATACTTACTATGTTATCTTAGGTATTCATGTTCATCACATTTTTATCTAAAAATTGTGATGTCTATGGGCAGCCTCAAACGGTGACTTCTCACAATGGATGGACTTATTGTTACTGTTACACCGTTAACCTATCAGCCCATTGCTGGCTTGATCAAAATTGAATTTGTGACAATTTTAACAGGCAGTTTCCTATGTACTTCCAGCTGTGCCCCCCCCCCCCCTTCCCCTTCCACCTTGTCCTTTCTGCTCTCCAAATCTTGCATGTGATTGCCCCAGCATGAGTGACATTGACTTCCCTAATAGAATGGCTTTCCAAAGATATAATCATGTGTTAAATTGAATCCTCCGTTTAACTGTTAATGGTGTGCTCTGGGCACATTTGCGTATTAGATGCTATGGTAACTAATTATCACAAGGGAAAGAGGATGATATACTTTGCAGACTTTGACAAATAATTATGAGTCCTGAAAAACATGTTAGCAGCGGTAGATCGCCCAGAATGAGCCCGTGAATAAATGAATAGGTAAGTAGGGGCTGCCATATAATGAATTGTATCTGGTTAAAGTAACTAAACGTTAGTGACCATATAGAGCCACATGTGCATAGATATAGTCTGAAAAGTTCCTGTATACCCCCACAAATATTTGTAATATTTATATACTATCTAATATATGTGTGTATATATATATAGCAAAAGTACACCCTTTACCTTTCATCTGACGTCCTTTTCCAGTATCATTAAAGTCGTCTACATGAAGTTTGTATGGCCATTAACTGTATTTTTGTCTACAAGCTTTGAGCAGTTGATTTGAAACTAGTGGTTGTGTGGATTTATATAGTATGTAGCTGAACCAGCTGAACTTTTATACTTTACTCCAGACTGGTAATAATTTGTATCTACACTGAGCAGGCAGGTACTGGATTTATTGGGTGCATTATTGTATACACACACATTGTAATTCTGTGAATTATCAATAGAAACAATAATTCCACTTAAAAGTACTAAAGTGGCAAGTTGGGAGATGTTATGACAATAATTTCAACAATGTAACAAAGTCTCTGGATTTGGAGAAATACATTGTAACGCATTCCTTCGTCTATGATGAAAGCAGACTGCGTTAGAAAAAGGAAGTCAAGTCCCTATTAGGTTTCTAACTTGGCACTCCTGC